TAAAATTGCACTTTTAATTCATAACTTATTGCTAATGTATTTTATCAGATAATTTGGCTAGTATAAAGATTTTTTTTTACTTAAATAAAAAAAAAATTTAATTTAAAAAATAAATTTGGCAACTACGTTGGGATTGTTATTTATTAACATCACAAACTATGCATTTCCTAAATAAAAAATATGGAAGATCAGGGGTGATTGAGCTCTGGAAAAAATCCGGATTTTTCGCTAACCGTATTTTTCGTATTGAAAGTTTACGGAAATCCAAAGTTCAGAAGTTTCAAGAAATCATCAATCACATTTATATATAAAAATTCTTGTATATTTTATTTAAAAANTTTTGAACTAGAATTTATACTTGGCATCTCTTTCATTTTTAAATATTTTTTCTGGTAGAATAATAAATGTGATTAGAGATAAAAGTAAACTTACACATAATTATTCATTTAAATTATGTTGCATATAATTCATTTAGAATATCATGTTTTGAAAATTTTAATAAATAAAGACAATTTTATTTTATAAAGTAAATATTTAAATTTATAAAGATATTAATATTTTGAATGATTTTACTCTAGAAATTTTCAGGATTTATGAGTTGGGCTCACCCCTGGAAGATCTTTATAAGATTTTTTTTCTCCTTTGCAAACATTTTATTACCTCTCAGCCACAAGTTTCATGAAACTATAGCACTATATATGCACAAATCTATGTTAATGTTTGTTTAGTGTAAAAGGTGAGAGTGAATTTAAAATATATTATGAACATACATAAAATGAATGTTTTTCTATGTTCACATTTGTGTATAGTGTCTGAAAATATTTATCAAAAGTAAGGTTAACTTTTTACATTGGAAATTTAATTTACATTGGTTTTTACATTCAAAACATACCAAAATGTTGCATAAATATGAAAACATCAAATATGTTTGTTGTCGAAAATATTATTATCTTTTCTACTGAGTGCTTACATATTTTCATTATTTTAAAACAAAGTGACGTTATCTGATTTGACAAAAGTAAACCATTTTTAAACCCTAAGCACTCCCATAATTACAAAAATTTACATTTAAAAATTAGAAGATATTGCCAACTAACCTCAAATGATTGCTTCCCTATTTAATAAAAGTTGGCTTTTTTTTTTAAATTAGCACATTTATAAATGCAAACAAAAAAGTTTCAGTAAATAGTGTTACTGTTTATTTTATTAATGCTTATTTTGTATAAGTATCTAATTTATTTTGTGTTATTTAAAACTATGAATTCAATGAATTTTGCTTTAAAGCTTTGTGTTTTACATGTTATTAATAATTTTTTTGTTGAATACTTTTTACTTTTTTTTAGTTTTAATGCAATTGCCCCAACCATGATGATGAAAGTGCTCACAAAAAGTAATAACTCACCAAAGGTAAGGTGTCTCCTGCATTAAACTTCAGATCTCATTGAAGGAGACAAATAAATAAGTTTCATTTCTTTTAAATTTTAGGTGCATTCCTGCTACAAAAAACTAAGCAAGTCTGAAATTGAAAATATTGTTGCCGATTCTTTGGGAGATATACGGAATGCCATAAATTCTATGCAGTTCATCTGCATGTCTTGTACGTTATCTACATAATGATTCTAATTTTTATAAACATATGATTCTTCATTTTTCGTGTTGCAAAAACACTATGCGTTTGATAAAATTATCTTAGGATTGACTTTATGTTTATTGCATTTTTAGAAATAACTTAGAAACATTGTTTAAGTTTATCATATAATGAACTTCCATTATATGTTAAATGTTATAGACTTTCTTTAATGCATATAATAATGATTCTAATTTTTATGTAATTTTTTATTTTGTGTGTGACAAAAGCACTATGGTTATGATAGGTTTATCTTGGAATTGACTTTTATTTATATTGCATTTTTAAAAATAGCTTAGAAACATTGTTAAAGTTTATCATATAATGAACTTCCATTATATGTTAGACTTTATAAACTTTCCTTAATGCATGTAATAATTATGATTCTAATTTTTACGTGATTCTTTATTTTTTGTGTGACAATAGCACTACGGTTTTTTATAGGATTATTTTTATTGCATTTTTAGAAATTACCTAGAAACATTGTTGAAGTTTATCATATAATGAACTTCCATTATATGTTAGACGTTATAGACTTTCTTTAATGCATATAATAATGATTCTAATTTTTATGTAGTTTTTTATTTTGTGTGTGACAAAAGCACTATGGTTATGATAGGTTTATCTTAGAATTGACTTTTATTTATATTGCATTTTT